CTGGGTCACAGACCTTTTGGGGCTATCCTGGTAGGTGTGGAGTTGGGATTCATGTGGGCAACAGATGGACACTATAATGTAACCCACACTAATTCAGAATTGAGTATAATAAAGGGTTCTTTATTCAGGGGCAGATGCACAGATTACAGCCCTCTGCACAAATGGGGAACAGGAACTGAATCCAGCAGCCGAGAGTGTGCAAACTTTATGGCTGCATTTATAGTATAAGAGACCATGCCCAAGTGGGCTGAAATCTTAAAGGCTGTTTGGCGGAAGAGGTTCCCACAGCATAGCATGTTGGGATTGGAAAGATGACTCAGCAGTTAGGAACTGCTCTTCTAAAAGACTCATGTTTAATTTCCAACACCCATAAGGTAGCTCACAAAGGTCTGTAACTCCAGTTCCAGGGCCTGGAACACCCTCTTCTGGTTTCTGTGGGTAGTAGGCTTGCATGTGGTGCACAGACATACATAAAAGGTAAACACTACCCATACACATAAAAGAATATCAAAGTGCAAAGCTGAACAGACTTAACAACTTACATATCTCAAATCAAGGAACTTGTGCTCTGGAAAGAAACATTTTCAGGTGCCAAGCAAAGAGGATGAGTCATAACTAAAACATGCTACAGGGAAGAAGATGAACAGAGGAAGCCACAAGGACATGGGAAGTTTTTTGATATTTCTTCCAAGTGTCTAAGTGTTAGAAATGAGGAGAAGGGATAGCAACAGATGTCTAAGACTGGCCTTGAACTGCAAGGTCAGAATAGTAGATTTGGATGCAGGAGAATGAAAGGTGAGATAGGAAAGCATTGAAGGTTGTGAAATTCCTAAAGGAGCTACCCTGGACAAAGAGGGTAAGAGGCTACTGTAGACTGATAATAGAAATCCCTCCTTTATGCTTGGGCAGTCCCGCTAAGGAACAAATTTATAACCATCCTTTTTTGGCTGATTAATCATGAACAAATTATTTTTGTCTGTTTTTGCAAATTGAAGCTAGGTTCCCATGCATGCTAGGAAAGAACTCTACTAAGCTAGCCCAAGGAGGCCTTAATTTTGTAATTCTTCTCAGCCTGCAGAGTAACTTGGATTACAAGCATCTATCATAAAGCATGGACAAAACAAAAACAAAAACTATTTTTGAACGGAAGGCCTCTTAAAGATTTCTATCGTTATGGTAAAATGCCATGATCAAAAGTACGTTGGAAAAGGTTTATTTTTATTTTCAGTTGTTTATCATCCAGGGAAGTCAGAGCAGGAACTGAAGGAGAACCAGGGAGAGGTGCTGCTTATTAGTTTCCTCAGATTGCTTTCTTAGAGAACTCAGGACAACCTGCCCAAGGGTGGCATCATCCCGCATTGGGCTGGACCCTCCCACATCATCAAATAGAAAAATGTCCTATAGACTTGCCTACAGACCACCTGGTGGCAGCTCAACTTGAGATTCCTCTTCCCAGATAATTCTAGCTTGACTCAAGTTGACCAAAACAAAACACACACAAAATCCAAACCAAAAACAAAACACCAAACAACCAGGTCTGATAATGTAAGCAGCAGATGGTTAGAAAAGTTAAGAGTGTAGTTGAGTGTAAATAACAGTGTATATGTTTCTTCTAAGATAGTCGGAAATGCCTGTCCCATTATAGGATTGACAACAAGTGGCTACATGGAAAGCATCAAACTTGTGGTTGAAGACGAAAATTTAAGTCATGGAAGTGTGGGCCAGATGCATTCTCACCTGGAAGCCTTTGTTACCCAGAGTATCAGGCAAGCTAGACAACCAGGCTTGACAAGAATGAAATAAAGTGAAAGGCTGCTTCTGAGGTCCTAAGATGAGCCAGGTGCTCAGACAAAAATTTACACCAGACAAGGTACTTAATGCTCAGCAGACATCATATTCAGCAGAAAACCTATGTCCTTCTGCTGTAACCACCCAAAGAACCCCATGTTTCTAGCTTCATGTGCCGAGTAAGGTGAGAGAGAAAGGTGTGGTATTTAAGCCAGATTGCAAGAGATTGGTAGAATGGGTAGGTCTAAACAGATCAGAAAGGCTGCTCAGAAAGTAGTAGTATAAAGGACAATGTCATGAATTAAAAAAAGAGTTGTTGTAGGTATACTAATGCACTTAAGATGTTAATATCTCATTGAATACACTCAACATACATGTTGTTCAATTGGTTTTTAACCACCAGGAAACCATTCATGTTAGCACACATTAATTATCACCACTGATTTTTAGTTAGGCCAAAGAATTATGACAAATATGATTGAATGGCCATACTGTTGACCTACAAAGACAAAATACACAGCAGCCCGCACCTAGCTAAATCACAAGAATCTTGCCTACCATGCCAATTAGGGATGTGTTTGGCACCTGTATACATAAGGAACACTATGCTGTGGGTCCAGCCACTTGCCGCTCCACCAAGGGCTGGGCTTACAGGTGCTTGCTACTGTGTTTGTTTTAGGATTTTTTTTGGTGGATGATACTGCTGGTATTTGAACACAGCACTATGCTCATACCCTTTCCCTTGGACTACATGCCTATCACTGGTATTTTTATTTTTATACAAGCTATAATATAGGAAATAAAGACATTTTTCTTTCATCTGAAGAGAAATTATTTATTCGTTAAAGTCAAGCAAGAGGATCTGTTGACAAGTGGTAAGCATCAAGCACAATTGTGCATTTTTTTCCAGGGCAGAGTTCAGGGTAAAGCCACAAAAACCGACCACAAGCAAGATCAGTGTGTATACAGAGAGTTCCACAACTGTACCCACGCCTATGCATGCCAAGGACAAACCATTAGCACCAGATTGTTTCTTATGCAATAGTATCAATAGTCACAGACATATGTACATGAACTCTCTGGAAATCTTAGATCCCTGCTAATCAGACATGGAACAGGCAAGCAGGGAATGGACAAGAATGTCATAATTGCTATATATTTTAGTACAAGGCATGCTAGAGCACTACATATTGTTTTCCATAACAGACAATCTTCGAACAACACGAAAAGCCAGGTTACAGACAAACAAAATTCCACTATTCACAGTTTACACACATATCAAATTTTCACAACACTGTATTTGGGGATAAAGAACCACAGGTAAATAGCCTGGTGTAAATTAAAAGCAAAACAGTCTGCAATTCCTTGAAAAGTGTGTGGACAGTCAGCATTACATTTTCTGACATGACCCACATTCACAGCAAGGACTGACCAAGTGGAAAGAGGACGCTGCAGTGACAAATCAGGGACTTCAAAAGGTAGAAGTAGCTTTGTTTAATAGGATTCAATACGTTTGCAAAGGTTTTCTTCCAGCCGATTGTCAACAAGGCCATCTGTGCTCTGCAGTACAGAAGCTTGCCTACCTCGACTCAATTGTACAGTGTCAACCTCTGTTCCTCTGGCTCAGGAAGCATGGATTCTGGTCCTTTAAGACAACTGTGTATGGGAGTGTGAGCTCATGCATATACACATGGATCTAAGTGTGCATGTGTATTCTGGAAAGGGTGTGGTTATTGGCAAAAGGGAAATCTTTGCATCTGCTGCAATCTCGAGGGAAAACAAGAATTAAATAATTCCTTTATAGAACAAAGATTAGTGATGCCTAAACATCAAGTCACTAGAGGGACTTGCTCATCTTTCACCATGCATTTAGTTACATAAACATCTCTGGAACTACACCAAACCTACACACATTTAACACAAGTTATACACGCCATTAGTGCCTGAACATTTTTCATGTGTTTATCTGCCATACACACATTCTCTTTGGTGAAGTGTCTAGTCAAGTCTTTTGCCCACTTTTTCCAAATGATTTGTTTTCTACTATTGGGTATTGGGAAGTCTTTTTTTTTTTGGTTTTTCGAGACAGGGTTTCTCTGTGGTTTTGGAGCCTGTCCTGGAACTAGCTCTTGTAGACCAGGCTGGTCTCGAACTCACAGAGATCCGCCTGCCTCTGCCTCCCGAGAGCTGGGATTAAAGGCGTGCACCACCACCGCCCGGCTTGGGAATTCTTTATATAAATCTTTTATCAGATGTATACCCCATGGAAGTGGGTATGCTAGTAAACTTGGAACTCAGGAAGTGGAGGCAGGAGGATCAGGAGTTCAAGGTCATCAGGACTACATAGGGGGACTGAGGCCAATCCAGGTTATGTGAGACTCTTCTAAAACAAATAATAATAAAAATAAAATAAGGAACAAATCAGACACATGATTTACAAATACTTTTTCCTAATCCTTGTCCTGTTAACTGGAAACCAATAGAATGACAGTGTTGCTTTAATGAGTAACACTCCATTTATCCATCTTTCCATTTCAACTGTTAAGGACAAGGAATCTTGAAACTTGATTTCAAATGTAAGTACTAATCACTCCATAGGACCTCTGACAAATAAGAAGATGGAATCTTAAGTCTTAAGGTACATGGTATGTGGCTCATGGTAACAGACAGAAATGTAAAAAGAGACAAACCACCAGTTATCATTAAGGATTGCATACACAAAGTAGTGTTTTGGGGGAGAAAACTTCAAAATATTCCATTGGTCTCTGAAAATAAATAACAAGCAATAACATTACAGGTAGACACACTTTTAACCAAATAATGTCACTTGGTTAGAAATTATTTAAGATGTGACAAGAAGGACACTTAGCTTCTGCTTGTTTGGGTATTTCAAAGCATGCATACAAAGCTATATGATAATTTTATTCTTGGAATGAATGTGTCCAATATGTAGGTTGTTCATTTCATAGTTGGTTTTTAATCACTAGAAAACTGTTCATGTTTCCCACATATCAATAAATTATCATCATCACTGATTTTTACTGGATCAGAGAACGTCACGATGATAAACCAATGAATGCTCACATTATTAAATGAAAAACAGAACACACAGCAGCCGAGGCCTGGCTAAATCACAAGGGTCTTTCCTCTCATGTACCATAGGGATGTATTTGGCATCTACACAAGGGAGGAACAATGGTGTCAGTGCTGCAAAGGAGTGCTTGCATGTATTGTGGGCCCAGCCATTGGACATTCTAGGGGTCCCTGCTGACCAGTAAAGGCTGGCATTCTGTGAAGTCACATGTAATATGAAACTCTGCTCAACAAACCAATAGAAATGAAAAACATAAATCAATCATCACATACTAATAGGACATTATTGCTTTTTTACTAGTCTTGTGGCTCCAGAGTGTGTCTCTCCAGAGATGGGCAAATAGGCTTGGATTCACTCTTGTATTCCCAGGCATTAATTTCCAAGGCTCAGTGTCCAACTTCTGCAGGGACAGGTCTCTTACTTGCTTCTCTCAGGCTGTAGGCTGTCAAACAAGCACTTGAGCTGCTCTTCACCCAGGTGGATTTTATCTTCCAGCTCTCGTTTCTCAATGATGAGGGCTGACTTCATCTTCACGAAGTGTTCATAGTCAGCCAGGTTCTCCTCACTGAGGTAGTTGGCCAGGATATCAAACACAATGCGCTCACAACGGTCCAGGTTCTCTTTAAGCTCCTTGGCATCCTCATGCTGCTGGGTTAGGATCCTCTGTTTCTCCAACAGTGACTGCTGTTGAGGGGAGGGAGACAGAAAGTCCTGTTGAGGCAGGGCTAAAGCAAAGACTCTTGCCAGTTCTTTAAAAGCCCTGCAGCTTTTGGAAACCGGTCTGATGGAATCCTTGAAGTCACATGGGATCCCCATAGAAATGACCAGAATGTAGTCTACATGTGCTTTTAACTATGGCCAGCTTCTCTACAACTCCTCCTTTCCTCACCCTTCCTGAAGTCACTCTTAGGCCCCTCTGGATTTCCTCTTTGTCTGTGCCTTCTCTTCCATTTGCCTTAAAATCAAGGACCAGCAGTTACAGAGTTCTGACATGCTTCAAAGAGACAAAGGACTTGGGAATCCTGTTTGTCCCAAAATTGAAAAAGGGAAATACTATAATTAAGTTGAGCCCAGTGGCACAGGCCTGTAATCTCATCTACTCAGAAGACTGGGGCAGAAAGCTCCTAAGTGAAGGTATGTCTTAGCTGTGAAGTAAATTCCAATCCAGCCCAGACAAATTACTGACACCTGGCCTCAAAATAGAAAGATTATAGGATTGGGCTATAGCATGAAGAGGGAGAGGAGAGGAGGGGAGAGAAGAAGAGGGGAAGCAAGGGGAGAGGAGGGGAAGAGGAGAGGGGGAGTTTATCTTTCTTACACTACAATTGATGTAGCAATTTAACGTCCCTTCCCCCAACAATTCCCCTTCTCTATTTTTCTTGGCCCTCTCCAACTCCAAGCTTGCAGAGTCAACACTATGAAGAGAGGGGAAGGGGAAGGGAGGGGAAGGGAGGAGAGGGAGAAGAGAGGAGAGGGAGAAAGACAGGGGAAACACACAGAGAGAGAGAGAGAGAGAGAGAAGAAGAAGAAGAAGAAGAAGAAGAAGAAGAAGAAGAAGAAGAAGAAGAAGAACAGAGGGAGAAAGACAGGGGAACACACACAGAGAGAGAGAGAGAGAGAGAGAGAGAGAGAGAGAGAGAGGAGAAGAGAGGGAGAAAGACGGGAACACACACACAGAGACAGAGAGAGAAGAGAGGGAGAAAGACAGGGGAACAGAGAGAGAGAGAGAGACAGAGACAGAGACAGAGACACAGAGAGATTGATTGATTGATTGATTGATTGATTGATTCTAGGGCAGGATGAAATTCTTCAACAGAAGGCGGTACAAAGACAAAAAAAAAAGGCCAGTAAAGCAAGACCCAGAGCAAAAGCTGCTGGGAAGTATGTGTGGAGCAGCCCTTCACTCCTTACAGTGTCTTGCTTCAAACAATGTCTGACACACAAAACTTACCATCATTGATTTTAGTTTATAGAATATCCACGTCCAATAGAAACCCTACCAAGTCTAAGATGAAGGAAGTGAAGAAAGGAAGAGATGAACGCACTCATTGTCTTCACATGGCAGGAGCTCAGGAAAGAGGGGCTGTTATCTCTTACACAATGTGGCCTGAACCGGAAACTCTCTTTGGGATTCCCATGACCATAGAAACTTTAGAGTACATCTTGCCTTGTCAGGCCTGAGACAAAGAGATGAGATACCTTCCCTGAAAGAGGGCAGGTCAAGCCAACATACTCCAAATGGAAAACAAGTGGACATGATTAACGTGTTCTACAAATATTGCTCAAGTTGTGAAAATCACACGGATTCCTGAAAGCTACTGAGACAGCAGTGGGAAAGAGCCAGACGTGTTTCATTAATAAAAAGATTGATTTTGAAGTTCCATAATATGCAAAGAACAGAGAAAGATGTTGGGCTGAAACATAACCTATGGAAGTGAGAAATTTATCTTCTTCTGAGTACAAGAAAACCGAGGATACGTGTGACGGCATAAGCCTGTAATGCCCCTCCTCCCTGCGAAAGTCCAGTACCTATTTAATTAACAAAGAGATTGATTTTGAAGTTCCATAATATGCAAAGAACAGAGAAAGATGTTTGGCTGAAACATAACCTATGGAAGTGAGGGATTTATGTTCTTCTGAGTACAAGAAAACTGAGGATACATGTGATGCTTTATGCCATGCACAGACCTTATGAGGCTTCTAAGAGCTGTTCCTAGCACCCCAAGGATGGTCACTCTAAAGCATCCTCACCACTTCCCATTTCCCACATAGACACGTTTGCCAGTACCCGATCTCCAGGAGAAGGACTGTCGTCCAGATTATTGAGTGCATTTTCCACACGGGCCAAGCGGCCTGACAGTGACAGCAGGAGGTTCACCACTTTGTCTAGGTCCCCAATAAACATCCGGAACTTGTCAAACTCATTGGGTTTGCAGACGTCTTTCACAATGGCTTCCACCTCTTCTCCCAGGGCATTGTTGGCTTGGATGTCTTCCAGCAGGCTCTCTCGGGCTTCCCGCAGTACCCGCAGCTTGCGGCCGATGCTGTCGATGAGCTCTTGCTGTAGGGCGCAGGGAAGCATTGGGACATTAGTTAGAATCATCCCAAGCTGGGGTTCTAGGTTAGTATAGCCAAGTCATGCACAGTCTGGGAAGAATTCAGCTAGATTGGGGATGTTAGTCTTTGAGCCATCAAATAACGGGGGATTTATAAAACCAGGGAGAGGAAAAGGCCTTCTGGTTAAATATGAGCTTCCTTGTTTGTGTGAGCCAAAGAGGTAGCTCAGCAAATAAAGGTCTGATGACCTGAGTTCTAATCCTACAACCCACTTGGTGAAAGGAGAACCAGCTCCCACCAGTTGGACTCTGACCACCATGTATGTGCTGTTGCATGCACACATGTACATGTACTTGCACGCTTACACACAAATGTTAAAAGAAATTAAATTAAATGTATATATAAAATGTATTAGAGACAAAACAGGGCTGGTGTATATATAAGTCAGTGATAAAGTACTTGCATAGCATTCATGTGGTTTTTGGGTTCCAACCTCAGCACCACAAAAAATACACGAATGAATCCAAAAATGAAAGAGGAACCCAGGCCTGGTGCTTTATGTCTTTAATTTCAGCATCAGGGAGACAAAGGCTCAAGGATGATGAACTCCAGGCTGGCCCAGGTTATATAATGAGATACTATTTCCAAACATAAAAACAAAAGCTAAATAAAATAAATTCTCATTTGGTGAATGTCCTGGAATGCTAGAGCTACCTCAGTTTGACTCACAGTAGATGCTATTCTGATCTCTATTCGATACCTTGGCTGCTGTCATTTTAAGCATATAAATTAAAGATTTACATACAGAGACAGTTTGAGTCTATATCCAGCACTATTGATCCCTGTCTTTGAGCAAAACAGCTATCACATGTTTTTATTAAAAATTATTTATTTAGTATGTGTGCATATATGCGCACATGTGCATTCACGCATGCAAGTACAAACGAGCCATGGCACACATGGAGAAGTCAGAGGAAAACTGAGGACTTGTACAAGCGAGCCATGGCACACATGGAGAAGTCAGAGGAAAACTGAGGACTTGGTTCTCTTCTGACACCTTGTGAGATCTGGGGAGTAAATTCAGATTTTTATGCTTGTATAAAAGTGCCTCTACCTATATAGCTTTCTCCCAGGCTTGTCATTACTCAAAAACAAAAAAGACCACCAATAAGATCAGCTTGTTAACTCTTCCTCAGAAGAGAGAATAGGGAAGGTCATTAGACCCTTTCCTGAGATTCCAGCCACTTTCTCTCGCACATTTCCTATGAGCATGTAAGACCTCCCCCAATGCATGTGTCTTTGAGAGGGGCAGAATGGTGTGTAGACTAGGACTCCACCTATGTAGCTTTAGGGAAATTGTTACTTAAGCCAGGGTGAGACTTTCCCAGTGATGTGATTGTTCTGGGGTCATTCATGCTCCTTGCAGTAAATCCAGTAAACTCATTGATTCACCAAGCTATATATGGATGAAACCCATCTTTTTGATGCCCATTATGAAAGGAGTTAGAAATGAGGCACCTGAGGACCACTGAAGTTATGTGTCTTAACCACTATGTCTCTTTGAAGCTGCAGGTAGGCTGTTCCTCTTTGTCAGAAACGAAGGAGCCAGGGCATCCTCCTACACATGTGAACTAACGAAGAGTCTATATCCACAAACGATCTGAAATCAGCATTTGCAGTAGGGTCGACACCCTTCCTTTTGGAGCTTTTTTAAAAGGATCAGGTAAACACTATCCCTTTAAAAAGGAAATCTGGTGCACCATGATTTCAGAAACGAAAAGAGTTGCTTTATTCCATGAATATGCCACCTGCCTCATAAATAGTCATTAAAATCCTTTCAAATTTCACAATGAAGAACTATGGGCTACTCGGTGCTTTGGGAAGCCCACCCAATTCATCTTCACAATGTTTGCTTTGCCTAGTTTTGCTATGGAGCCTTTTGCTTCATCTGTCTGTCTCTTAACAGAATTCTTTCAATAAGACAATACTGAAGAGAACCCTAACCAAAATATTACCTTGATACCCTTGATCTATGGTAAATAGGTGGTTTGTTCTTATCTTCTCAGAAAAATTTAACAGATACTGAATACCATGATTCCAGAGGCAATTAGATCTTAGAGCTCTGACCCAATTAATGGTTTTATCCATCTATGGTTTCAGAATTTGAAAAAATAAATTATTGGGAGGTGGTAGAACTATATAGAAGGTAGAGGACTGAGACACTGGGCATGATCTAAGCACTGACACAAGTAATTTAAAGCAGTGGTTCTCAACATGTGGGATGTAATCCCTAGGCTGAGTAAGACTATTAGAAAACACGGATATTTACAAAACATGATTCTGTGCACAAAAATAAATAAATAAAATGTAACAAAACTCATCACGCTCTGTGATTCACCCTGACCCAAAGCAGTGGCCTCTTGACACGGTATTCCAGTACCTGGTGCTCTTCAGAACAAATAGATAGAGCACTATATAGACAAAGGTGGTAAAATTATTTTGTAAATTGTTTTTCGGGGGTGGCATTTCTGAGAAAGGAACTTGCTGTATAGCTCTGGCTGGTATCCAGCTGGTTATGGATCCCAGCTGGTTATGATAATCCCCTTCCTTCTTCCTCCTGAATCAAGGATTATAGGTACATATCACCGCACCTGGATTTTAAAGGTATTTTGGCATACTTTGTAAGGTAGGGAGCCAGAGAATGAATCTAGGACCTAACACATGCTAGGTAAGCAAGCATTCTGGCAATAAGCTATGTCCTTGGCCAAAATATGCACTTCTAAATGCACTGTGCTAAGAAATAACAAAGCCTAATTAGAAAGAAGGAGGAAGAGACCCAGTCAGTCGTCCTCATCAACTTAGATCATGAAACCCAATATGGACAAGTTCAACAGAACCGCCATATATGGGCTACCTGTGCATACTTCAGCATTGCCAGGGCATAAAATAAAAATGTATGTACAGCATAGCCTAAATCAAAATGCTTCAAATTCTATGAATTCTGTTTCATGAAGAAAAACTGTAAATGCTGATGTTTTTAAAAATATGGACACATGACTAGAATAAAGTGTATATTGCTCTAATTCAAAGTCTCTAAGAGATCATATTTGGTTCCCAGAACCCAGAAGGTTACCATTTTCTACACTGAAAGGATTTTTATTATATAAATAGGTCATAATACTCCCTTCCCTAACATTTCTTACATAATTAAGATCAATCTGTGCTATCTTTCAAATCACTGGGTCAGGAGCAATAGCTAACAGTATCCTTGCCATGAATGCCGTGGGTACTGCATACAATGGCCCTGAGTTAACTTCCAACCTTCTTTCTTGGTTCATGAAGCTGAAGCCCTGCCTTTTGCTGCTTCTCCCCAAGACCACCAAGCTCCCACCAAGGGTATCCGTACCTCCTCTACCTTTCCATCACACAGGACACAGTTCTAGGGTAAGAGCCTGCCTGACATTACTCTGTGTTTCTACAATCACAGGCATTTGTCTCTTTCTAGCTATTCACTCTATCCAACTGTCTAATACCTGATACAGTATAGCAAGGGTTGGCAAACTTTTCCCATGAGGGACTAGTGTGTATATATTTTACTACTTGTAGGTTCCATGATTAGTGACAGTCAATATATAAGCAAATGAATGTGGCTATATTTCAATAAAACCTATTTCTAAAAACAGGTAGAGGGTCAGGTTCACCAAGCCTATGTTAGACATGTCTTTTTTTTTTTTTTGTAGTAGCCGTACATAATTCCATAAGAACACAAAGGCCCTTACAGAGGGCTCCTTTCTCCAGTCTGCCTACAGATGGATCTTCAAGGGCTTTGTAGAAAGGCTAGAACATACAATTCTGAGGAAAGGGTTGTTTGTTTTTATTTTAATTTTTTTGAGGAAGGATCTCACTGTGAAGATCAGGCTGAACTTACCGTGCAGCGCAGACTCATTCAAACTCGTCACCGGCCTGCCTCAATCTTCTTAGTGTTGGAATAACATGCATATATCTCTATGCTCAGCAGGTAGGGAATTTTGATTGCATAGAGGAAGGTCTCCTTATTCCTTCCAGAATGGTCCAGAACTCCCAGCTTTAAATGATTCTCTAGCCTCAGCCTCCTTGGTAGTTTTCAATTAAAGCTACTGAGTTGAGGTCAGATTTGTACTTCTTACCTTCTTAACTGACAGGTCGTGGTCCAAGTCACCCCCTGAATACTCCTCAGGCTCCTGTAGGTCCTTCATCTTGATAAGAAGTTCTGCCTTGGGGGCTGATGTGCTGTAATAGGTAGAATTGGTGGCCAAGGACACGACCCCTGGCATGCCTGTGTCCTGTTTCCTGGGTGAAGAGGCAAAAAAATTGCTTTTCCCATCCCAGCAGTGATTTGGATTAAATCCAAGTCCTTTCATGAGCTAGGTAAATACTTTACCTCTGAGATGCATCCTTGGCCCCTAGGTAACCGAAATTTAAACAGATAGAAAAACAAACATCTCTAAAGAAAGAAAATGTTATCAATAAAACATCCTTAGATTAGAGGCAGGCTCTGGAATGGGACTTAAAAGTAGGTGAGAGGCAGGAAGACCAAAGAGACACAGATTAAATACACGTAAAGATGCTAGCTCTCAGGAATCTAAGGCGGGAGGATTTGAAGTTTAAAGCCAGTCTAGGCAACTTGTCTCAAAACAAGACAAAATAAATAAGGCTTATAGCTCAGTGATGACAGCTTGCCTAATATGTATGAAGACCTGCGTTTCTAGTTCAACATTATCAAGAAGTGGGTAGGAGGGAGACAGGGACATGAGGTGGCATATTCCTATAACCCTAGCATTGAGGAAGCTGAGGTAGAAGAATCAAGTTCAAGGGAGCCCGAAGTTCATAGAAAGACCCTACTTGTCAAACAAATAGATGGACAGGCATACGATCTTTATATTGAATATGGAGATTAGATGACGGACACCACACAACTGAGGAAGCAGACTGATGGCCTCATGCCAACAAAGGGTTTCTCAGGGTCAGCACTGATGGTATCTGGGAGCTGTCTCATACACTGTAAGGTCTTTAGTCGTTTCTGCTATGCTTCCACTAGATGTCAGGAGTGTTCCATTCTCCAGTGGGCATCATCTCGCCTCTGCTAAGCCCCAAGCAATCAAATCCAGGTATGAACATTTAAAGACTTACCAAAAAGCACTAAGTACTAGGGACCCCAAGGAAAACCATCACCTCCCCCGAGAAGCAATAATGAATATCAATATGCCCCAAATTCCTTCTTTTACTTCTAAGCCTAGGAGATAGGGACTGATAAACAAGCAGGTGTATGCCATCTACTTACTGGTCCTCTGTGACTCTGGGTGAGGGGACTTTGGGAAGCAGCTTCCTCCGCTGCTGAGCTTCCTCCAGGAGGGATTCATCTTTGGGGAAAATCCCTTCCATCAGATCCATGGTGGTCTTGATCTTCACGCTAGGGTCCAGGATGTCAGCCAAGGACTTATCTTTTCCCACAATCTCCCTGGCTAATTCTTCAGACTTCAAGTCATCCACGGTCTTTTCCTTGGCCTTCCCGTAGTTAAGTGAGGGAGGGGAGGAACAGCTATCTCTGACAGGAGGCGCTGGAGTGCTGGGTGGCTGGGGCTCTGGAGGGCGGGCTCTATGAGGGGCTTCTACCTCCTGTCGTGTGTACACACAGAAGCAGGAGTAACACTGCTCTGATGTCCTCAATGTCTTGATCTGGTCCCTCTCCAGCCCACTGGGCAGTGGGGGCAGCTCGGCTGGGCACGCAAGACTCTGGCGGCTCTCCTTTTCGGGCTGGCTTTCTGAGTGCACGATTTTTATGGGCACCATTTTCACTGTGGTGTTATTGTCCATCACCCGCTCGATTCTGTAAAGACAAGGGCTGTCTTCTTGACATGTACAGGTTTCCACCCGCTATTCACAGGTATCCTAACACAAAGACCCACTGTTAACTAGTCAAACAGAAAGACAAAGCAGAGGTTGGAAATGGTCCCCGTTTAACCCCTCATATGGCCTCTAAATGTCTAGCAGTTCAACTCAAACTCTGCCACACATCTATAGGCATCGGAGGGAGAGGTTCTGAATGACACAAAATCTGTTTAATATTCATTTTTGTTTTCTTATGAAATTGGGCATTGAACACAGGGATTTAAGACAAATGCTCAATCACATGAGCAAAATCAAGCACACTCCTTGATTTTGTGTTTTTATTATGAGGGCAATAAAAAAATGCAGTGCTGGGTGGTGGTGGCGCACACCTTTAATCCCAGCACTTGGGAGGCAGAGGCAGGCGGATCTCTGTGAGTTCGAGACCAGCCTGGTCTACAGAACGAGTTCCAGGACAGGCTCCAAAGCTACAGAGAAGCCCTGTCTCGAAAAAAATAAAATAAAAAACAATAAAAAAAAACATCAAAACCATTTGTTAAATCTCTCTGTTTCACTATGAAGCCTACAGTGGTTCAGTATAATTCTAATGAGTTGATATGCTTATAGGCACCGGAAACTGCCTGTATGAAAATGGTATACAGTTTCTCTATCACAAAGGTCACCTTATTGTTTTTCCTACTGCTATGATAAGAACATGTATGTGCACCCAAACTCCTAGGATTTATTTTAAGACAGGTCTCACTATGTAAGACCATGCCGGTCTCAAACTCATAGAGATTCACGTCTGCCTCCTCAATGCTGAAATTAAAGGCTTTTTCCATGACATCTGGCTTCCCAGGTTGAAATTTAATACCCGAGGTGTGGTCTTGGGAGACAGAGCCTTAGAGAAGTGGTGTGTTGGAAATGGACTCTTCTAAATGGTATTAGTGTCTTTACAAATGAATGTTGGAGAGCTTCCTGCCTCCTTTACCATGTGAAGACACAGCAAGAAAGTGCTATCTATAAACATGTTTCTGAATTTGCCACACTTTGACCTTGCTCTTCCATTCTCCAGAAACATAAGCAAGCCACGTCTGTTGTTTCTAAGCAACTCGGGCTGTGGGATTCCATTGAAGAAGAAACTACCAGAAAAGGATAGCTTCTCTGTAGATTACTAACAATATTGCCAATTGAAAGATGCTTAATTTAAGACATAAAGCACAGCTGAGGCATACACAGAAAGTCCTCTGGGAAGACAGAACCCCAATTGGACAATGCCTCCATCAGAGTGGCCTATAGGCAAGTCTGTGCAGGTATTTTCTTGATTAATATTTTATGTGGGAGGGTCCAGCCCACTGAGGCTGGTGGTCCTGGGTTGTATAAAAAAGCAGGCTGAGCAAGCAATGAGCAGCAAGCCAGTAAGCAGTGTTCCTCCATGGTCTCTGCCTCAGTTCCTGCTCTGACTTTTCTAATGGTGACCTAGATATTGTGAGGTGAAAGAAATCCTTTCCTCCCCAAGTTGTCTTTGGTCATGGTTCTTATCACAGCAGTAGAACCCTCACTAGGACAGAGATGTAATAACAACATCAATGATGTCCTTTCTAAAATGGCTTTTTATTATTTGAGGATTTCATACATGCTTATTCTTTCATCAAGTCCCCCCACTATTCCTTCCCAATTTCATGTTGCTTTTTGTTTTTTAATAAAACTTCCAAGTCTACTTAGTGTTGTTAGTATGTGTTTGCCAAAAGCTTCTCAACAGGGGGTAGGACTTTGTGAAGCTCTCCTCCATCTATGCTGGGATTTGTCTGGCTTAATCTTGCACATGCAGTCACAGCCACTGTGAGCTGATATGTGCAGCTGCCCCGTCCTGTCTGGAAAACAGTTTCACTGTAGTCATTCATTATCTCTGCCTCTTACAAGCTTCCCGGCCACGCTTCCACAATGATCTCTGAACTCGGGGAGAAGGTGTGATAGCATGTCCCATTTAGGGTATTGTGGTGATATTTTGTTTGTGACCTAACAATTAAAGCTTGCCTGAAGATCAAGAGTGCAGACCTAAACCACTAGTTAGCCATGGAGGAGGCCAGGCAGTGGTGGTACACACCTTTAATCTCAACACTTGGGAGACAGAGGCAGATGATCTCTGAGTACAAGGCTACCCTTGGCTACACAAAATTGATCCAGTCTCAAAGAGAAACAGAGCTGGGTGGTGGTGGTTCACACCTTTAATCCCAGTACTTGGTAGTCACATGCCTTAATCCCAGCACTAGGGAGGTAGGATATGCCTGGGTGGAGAAAAGAATAGAAGGCGGGAGGACACAGGAGCTCAGTTGCATTCTGAAGTGTGGCAAAGAAACATTCATTGTAAGGATTTGTAGAGACAGGATCTCCCCTTCAGCCTGAACATTGGTAGGACAAGAACTCTCTAGTGTCTGGCCACTCTGCTTCTCTGACCCTTCAGCTTTCACACACACACCCCCCCCCATTGGTGACTCCAAGTTTTTACTATAAAGACCAATTAGAATTTATGCTACAAGGGTATGAAAACTTGGAGGTTTCATATTCTCTGCAAGAGTTATGGATCTCTATGTTAATTGTCTTCTATTGCAAAAGAAGCTTCTCTGATGAATGCTAAAATGTACCAACCTATGAGTATAAAGACAAGTACTTAAAAGGGAAGATTTAATGCAATACCCTCTTAACAGAATGAGAGTAGTTGGTTCTCTCCTAGAGTCTTTGACCTACCCAGCTATGGGTTCTCGGCACTGTTAACAGTAGCAGGCATAAGTTCCAATTTGTGGAGCAGGTCTTAGATCCAATCAGAAAATAGTTACTTCCACAACATTCATTATTATAATTCCCAGAGTTCACAGCTGGGTAAGACTGTTTATTAGTTCACTCCCCTACCATCAGTAACACTTTCTGGCACTATGAAAGCTAGCCAGTGGGAATGAAACTTTTAGGTCACTACCAGCTTGTTTGCATGTTTTATGATTCAAGCATGTAACTTCTTCAGCAATAGGATAAAGTTCTGGAAGGTGACCAAGAGCAACAGTAATAACCTATAATGGCTGGGGTCTATGAGACCTTACTGAACCATAACTTGAAAAGAGGTAACCTGTGGCACTGGGCTTTTTATCTGGGTCATTCAGAAGTTTAAAGGGGGGTAGGTTGAAGAACTAATCAGTTGATAAGAGTCTTTGGCTATCTTAGCACTTTAGAGGTGAGCGAGAGGCCAAAGGGTGAGGAGTTCAAAGACAGTTTAGGGTACATAGACAGTCTAGGCTACACAGTAAATTCTTGATCAAGTTACATATCAAGATCATGTCTCACAAAACAACAAGAAGAAAGGAGGGAGAGGGGAAAATTTAAAGAGTATGAAAATGCTGGACATTACTCAACTTTACCTAAATATCTTATACTTAGGTTAAAACTGATTTTGATCACTGGCAAAATATGCTTAGTCTCAATGTGCCAGGTAGTAAGGCAAACAGAAATGCATTCAATACAGACAGAGAGAGAGGATCATGATGTCACTAAACTACAACTGGTCATTTGAGCTATGGCTCATTCTCTACACGATTTTTCATGACCAGATTTTACCCCAGTGTTTGAAGCTGTAGCATACTGTCATAGAACAATACCTTGCTGAGTTGTCTTCATGGATAAGGAGGGGAGGCTTGTCTGTCAACTTCTGTGGGGCAAACTGGGGTGAAGGGGAGCGAGAGGTTTCCATGGCTGATGTCTGTCGGTGTTGACGCTTAGAAGAGAGCTGGACTTCTGGTTCCGAGAAAGCTCTCTCCTCATTCACATGCTGGCTGTCTTGTGGTTGGGCACTGCTGATCACAGAGGAGCTGTAGGAGAATCACACACATATCCAGGGACTCGGTAAATGGTGTTGGTAAGGACTTGTTGGGGAGAGCTAAGTAAGAGTCTGTAGGCGTAGTGGACTTGAGATGAGTCACTGAAGGCCTGTGAGACAAGGCTGCCTTCTTAGCATGCAGGGTTGCACACACTGTCTATAAAGTACGCTCCTTCCTGAACAGGTAGGGGTAAAAGGCAACCCTGGACTTGGGGTCCCAAGTCTGACAGTATGCATATTCTTGAGGTAGAGCCCTAGCTTGGTTCAGGCCCTCCTGCAGAGGTTCTGCATCTTCCTGGGAGTGGGACAATTCAGGAAATGTGGAATTGGCTTGTGGGTCCTATAATGGTCTCAGGGCATCTAGAGGAAGATGTCATAAAAATGAGACAAGAATTCTGATTGGGATCTTCTCTAGTCGACCACTTTAGGACTATATGTTTTCCAACACCTTTGCCAACTACCACAAGCGATGTATGTTAGGCTGTATGTGTAACATGTTCTGTATGGAACATGAAGTATTAATGACACGTACATATAGATCTGACACAGACACACATGTATATACCAACAACAGTTCTTTAAAAGAAACACCCCTTCCCCCCAAAAGAAAGAAAACAAATCTCTGATTTAAGAAAAAGAGCAATTCTTAATCTAAAATTGACTTTCGAGCTGGGCAGGGCACAGTATTTGGTAGGCCAAAGGACTATAGGACTATTATGCCTGTGTCCTGCCTTGTGGATGATAACCTTGCTGTGTTCTATGGAGAGGGAAGAGAGGGGAGAGGGGGAGTTTATCTTTCTTACACTACAGTTGATGTAGCAATTTAACATCCCTTCCCCCAACAATTCCCCTTCTCTATTTTTCTTGGCCCTCTCCAACTCCAAGCTTACAGAGTCAAAACTATGAAATCACCAACTGATTTTAACAGCCCCAGTTCATACAAATCAGGTCACAGATAGACACAATAAAAAAGGACCTAGATGTAACAACGTTGAGTTCTGTTGGGACCATATTCAAATCTGTGACTTTAATGATATCCAAGAGATGTAGAATGTAGATAGTGTGATATGTTTGTGTTATGTTGGAATATAGTCGTACATTTATAAATAGATATATATGCTATGGATGCTGTCTGTGCAGATTTATGTCAATGTACATGTGCCAGTGGTGCATATATGCCTGTGTGCTATGTCTCTGTCATGTGCTGTGGATTGTATATGTAGATGTGTGGCGTGACTGTATATGCGGCTATGCCATGTACATATGTATCTTGATCTATACTATTTTTTCTGAAGCAGGGTCTCATAGAGTACCGAACTGTGGATACAAAACCCACAATTCTCATCTTAAAGGGAATAAGAGATAGTTTATTCAGGGGCCATATTTGAGTGACTGCAGCCTGGGAACATGGGTTTAGGTGACCCCAAATTCCACGTTCCAATATGGAAGAAGTTTCAAGAAGTTTTTACAGTTTTACCAAACAAAGAAAGTCATACAAGGCAAGTTTAAAATATATTTGGTGTGGATATCAGAGAGGCGGTTACAGAAAGATGAGGAGATCTGTCCTATAGGCCTGAGATGTTATCTGATGACATTCTTAGTTGTGGGATGGTGGAGGCAAATAGGTCTACTAAGTTAACAAATTACAAAAGGCTTTAATCTATTAGTCATACGATGCTCCAACACAGAGGTGGACAAGGAATTCACAGGGCTAAAGCTAGTCCAAGTAAAACATTCCAACATCTTCATTATTACTACATTTTAATCAGCCAAGCAGCCTCTATAAACAGTTTTTCTTTCCAGGAATTTTTATTGCTACTATGTTAGCCTCACACTTACCATCCTTCCACTTCAGTCTTCTAGGTGCACAGACCAGGCATGTAGCACCTTATCTAGCTTTTGGGCGGGATGTAACCAGGAACTGAACCCAGGGCTTTGTACAACATGCTAGTGTGTGCAATACCACAGCCCCCCATTTTATTTTAAGACAGGGTCTCAGTAAATGGCTCAACTTGTCCTTAAATTCATTCCACAGTCCAAGCAAGCCTTGTACCTATGTGATCTTTCTGCTTCAGTCTGTTGAGTAGCTAGGCTTGCCCCTTTTTCATTCATTTGAAATAAAACACAAGTGACCACAGACCTACAATCCTGGCACTCGGGAGGCAGAGATATCAGGAGTTCAGGATCATCCTTTGATTGCATAATGAGTTCAAGTATAGTTTGGGCAATATGAAGATCCTAAGTAAAGGAAGGGAGCAAGGGAGGTAGCAGGGAGGAATGGATGTCCACAGAGACAAAAATACCTAAGATAATAAGAAGACTTAAGGACTGTGTTTCCTTATGTCTGTATGCTACCCTGAGAATAATGCTGGAGCTGGAAGGGTGCCATACAAAGGAAGGTGGCAAAGGCAACAGCATTCCAGAGTCCTGGCAACTAATATTCAGGCTAGGTATGTGGGGGAGTTGACCCTGCTGCGGGACCACGGTCTGTACCCTGTCACTTGTATTTTAAATAAACGCTGATTGGCCAGTAGCCAGACATGAAGTATACGTGAGGTGACCAGGCAGGAAGTGGAGGTGGGGCAATGAGAATACTGGGAAGAGGGAAGTTTCAGTCGGTATTGATGACCCAGATGCAGAGGAAGCCAGACACAGAACAAGCAAGGTGTGACTTTCTTGCCAAAAAAGGTACCAAGTCACGTGGCTAACACAGACAAGAATTATGGGCTAATATAAGTTATAGAGTTAATAAGAAGCCTAAGATCAATCAGTTTATGTAATATAGAACACTGTGTATTTCTCTGTGACTGAACGGCTGCCTGACCAGGCAGGACTGAGTGGGACAGAAACCTTTGTTGGAGGGAGGAGAGAGCCACTTGTTGATTCCGGCTGCTTAGCCCTGAAATAATCACACAGAAACTGTATTTATTACATCACTGTTTGACCCATTAGCTCTAGCTTCTTATTGGCTAACTCTCATATTAATTTAACCCATTTCTATTCATCTGTATATCACCACGTGGCAGTGGCTTACTGGCAAAGTTTTGGTATGTCTGACTCTGGTAGCTCCATGGCTTCTCTCTGATTCCACCCTTTTTTCTCCCAGCATACAGCCTAGCTTTCCCAGCCTAGTTCCGTTCTTCCCTGTCATAGGCTCAAAGCAGGTTTTTATTCATTAGTAGTAATTACAGCATCCAGAGACATCACCTTTCCCTTTTCTGTTTAAATAAAAAAGGAAGGTTTTAACTTTAACATAGTAAAATTAAATATAGCAAGACAGGTATCAAGCAAGAATTACAGCTACAATATTTATATCTAGTTTATCTTTAATCATAACTAAGAAAAACTATAACTATAAATTTTTCAACTCCATCAAAGACTCCAGACCTAAGTAAACATAAACTACATTGTAAGCAACTTCCAAAACTCTAAAAATGACAGAGACATCTCACCGCCTGGACAGTTACCCAAAGTTCTTCTGTATCTTTGGGGCATCCATCTTCAGTACACAGGTCCGTAGTGTCCAACAGACTTTTCCATGAAGAAGGAAATTTCAGTCCCTTTCTTCTGTGTCCTGCAGAATGTCTTACCGACTCTTTCATGAAGCTGGAACCCCAAAGGATCATCTCACCTTTAGGCAAGTTAAGCAGTCATTTCTCTGTGGATCCTGCATATCCAGTTAAGTAGTCCAGGCAAGGATAGTTTCTTGCCCAAATGGCTAACCAACTCCATAAGGAGGCTCTTTGATGCCCATCATCCTCTTGAAGTAACTTGGTGCTGCCAGGAGCAGATATGTCTCATTGTCATGAAAAATCTTAAGTTCTTAAACATTTTGAATGCCATATTTTGAAGGTCTAGTGAAAGATTCGAAGAATATCTATCTAACTGAAATGTATCTCTGTACATCTAGAAAATCTAACTAACATGACTACAAGCTTAACTATTATAGATGACTATCTATTAACCTATATTTCTTAATTATACATTACATTTCTAAATGAACTGCACAAACATGATACCTTAATTAAGAGAAGAAATATACACGTAATAAAATCAACCTGAAATTTGTATCAATAAGCCAAGATCCACACCAATTATTCACATCTATATCACCCCTCACCAGGTGCAGAACTTGGGAGAATGGGTTCTGAGCCTTGCCTGGGCAGCACAGTAGAGTTGTTCCTATTGATGGTGGGATGGGATGGGGGATGGGGTGAGGTATATGTAGGTGATGGTGAGCTTGGGAGCTCCAGCCCTGCCCCTTGTCTGTCATATTGTGCTGTGGGCAGGGGTGAGATGTTCCCCTTTACTAACCATGATGGGTGAGAGCTATAACATTTGGGAGAGTAGTGGTCCCTGCACCTTACCTGGGCAAGACAGTAGAGCTGGCCTTGCTGGTGTAGGTGTGGGAGAGCTGACCCCGAGGGCATAAAAGCAGCTTATGTTGCAAGGGGTGAACTAGCTGGGGCAATGTCAGAGTTCACCTTGATGGTGAAGACAGGGGAGAGTTGGTGGGCTGACCAAACTTGCAATTACCCAGGCTCAAAACTAGGGTTGAGTTGACCCACCCTAACATCCATTCCATCTGGGATCTGCTGAAGCACGCCAAGGGACCAATCCTGCAGACCTAAAGCTGCTGTATCTCTATGACACAGGACAAAAACAGGATATCCAAGAGGAGTTCAGGGTGAGGGCCCAGTATCAATAGTGTAGCAGAAACTAGAGGTTTCAAACCAGACCAAGTACTCTTTGCAATAAACACTTGCAAGTAGATATATGGATAAATGATTAAATTATGACTGACTGACTACAGCTTCCATGATGAGATCTTTCTTTTTCTTCTTATTTTCTCTTAAATTTTATTTTACTTTATTTTGGGGGTTACAGGGCAGAGGGTGTATATGAAAGTAAATAAAAAAAAGTTTTAAAAAAAGTATTTCTAAAAGTAAAATGGATGCTATCCTACAGATTTATCAAAGTAAACCAGGACTA